ACCATGTAAAATTTAAGAAAATATGTATGTTGAACATTATTATTAAAACATTTAAATGCATGTGGTAAACTGGGAAAATATTTGTAAAGTACATGTCAGAAAAAGCTTAGCATTATTATTAAATTAAAAATCTCATAAATCTGCAAGAAAAAATAAAATACTCCACTCAAATCGGCAAAAGATATGAGCAGAAAGTTTGAGGTAAGAAAGACAAGTATACAGAGGGTCAATCTGTTAAAGGGCAAAACAAGAGACCAGATCCCCTTGTTATAAAATCAGTGCATGCTTAAAAAGCACACCACAGCTACACATTATTGATAAAATCAGCATATTAGAGAACATCCGAAAGTCCCCATGTAGACAACAGCTTATGGAAACAGTCTTCCCCTCCACTGCTGGAGGGCCAGGAAATTGGTTCACGCTTCCTATTTATATGTAGTAAAAGCAGCTTTAATGCCCTCTGTCCCAGAAATTCCTCTTGAAGGTATTTATTCAACAAAAGTAAAAATCAGGAAGAGGTTTTCTTGTCGACAGTGTTAGGTGCAGAGAGTTTTCTCAAGCACTGTATGAACATTATTAGTGCGTGACTCAGAACTTTGAGCTGTGGCCAAAAGGCTTGACTCTGGTGCCGGCCCACCTCTTATGGCTTGGCTTTCTTTTTATCCCAAGGACTAAAAGTTTGCACTTGAGTCCATAGTTACTGAAAAACTAGAAAACATCTAGGAGACAAAGTTTCTATTTTTGCAAATATGTGTAAGTCACCTATTATAAACCTCCTTATTCACTGGATACCACTTTGTGCATAAGACTAAGATAATAATAAAATCAGTTTTCTTCAATCTCGTGACGTCTTGAGTCTCAGAATCTTAATCTGTTCAGTGAGTGCACTGGGACAGTTTTAGAAAATACACCCACTGGTCAATACTCTCAGTCCATGTCTACTGACTAAGTTATTTAAGCAGGTACCGGCCAGGCTATAGTAAGAGGAATGAGACCTAAATTGCAGGTCTATACACACACTGCTTGATGAAATTGATAACTAGGGAAAAACATATAAAGTGTCTGCAGAAAATCATATAAAATATACTCAAAATTGTGTGGAGTTTTCCAAAAGTGAGGTGCATCTAACAGAACGCCCTGGGGACGTGAGAGAGCATCATCAAGACATCAAGACGCTGCTCAGAAGGGCAGGTGCGGATGCTGATGGAGAGGAGGGAGGGGGAGGGGGAGGAGAAGCGAGGGGAGGGACGGCAACGAGAGATGGGAGCCTTGCTTACATTTGCTTCCCTGGATTATCCTTCTGCAGGTTAGTAAACACCTAATACAATGTTGAAGTTTCTTTTTTTAATTTTCAATTCAGAGGCCCATGTAAAAAGTATATGCTCATTATTAGTTAACGCACACGGCTGATTTTGTTAATATATCTGCGGATCTATGTCCGAAAGAGATAAAAGTTTGCATTTAAGTTCATAACTACTAAAGAACAGGCATATATATGGCATAATATGTTTTTCAAATATGGGAATATGTCATACTTAAAACCCTGTATGTCCACTGAGCACTTTTTCATACAATAAAGCTAAGAAAATAACTACTGGTTAATATTAGAATACGGTAAGATCAGCCTTATATCCAATGAATGGAGCAATCCTGGAACCTATTTTCCAGAACTAGCTGGACAATAGCTCTGAACCTCTTGGAAGCGTGGTCCTCGTCACAAGAGCACAACACTGTGTGTGCTGCCTGACGTGACTCCTGACTCTCCCCCAGCACACTGGTGTTTTGGATTTTGCTCTCACAGTACAGAAAAGTCTTTATTAAATGTGTTCAAAATAAAATACAAACAGCAAAATTTGATTCTTTTCCTTCAAACTGATGGCCATGTTTCTCAATTTCTGTCAGAGTGGTTTTAACGAAAACTTTCAAAATCATCTGCAAAGAATTGAAATAATGAGCCCCTCAACATTTGTTTTCCAAAATCTCTGCTTTGTTTTTTCTTTGAAATTCAAAATCACAATTACCACACTGCAGATATATAGTGCCTTTCTCCAGAAAGCTCTAGCGGCCGAGCAGAAATGTTTCTCTTCAGGTCCAGGAAATGGTATTTTATGATTGAATTATTTTGAGCAGCACAGCTCTGTGTTTTATACTGCAGACCTGTGATTTTCCAGCAGATGGCTTTGACATTCTTATACTGAGGCAAGTTTTAGTTTCCCAACCTCAGTTCCAATCTTTAAAATGTTTTCTTTGGAAGGAATTACTACACAAAGAGGAAAGAACCATATGCAATACCTTATCATTCAGGGAAAATATTCCATAAAGAAACTGGATTTCATTATGGGCTGTTTCGTGTAACCAGGCTACAGGTTCGTTTGCTGCACACATCGTTAGGATATTGCAAGTGTCTGCTTTTCGTTACCCCGGCCGCATGGCCCAACCCCCTGCATCTGTGTGCATACATGCTGCGATTCATTACAATAACAGGAATTTGCTGCTGTTATGATTGAGATAAATCAGCTTTGTGGTCTGGGCAGCCGTTTTGATAACCATGGCTCCACCTCAAATTTGCCGCCTGGTCTTAAGTCATCTTGCAATACAGTCTGACTGAAGAAGAAAACAGTTAATATATTTTCTTAGAATTATATATATATGTGTATAGTAGTTACTGTGGGCCAGGAATTTAACTAACGCTTTTCCCTGTATTAATTCATTTCATCTTCACAACATCCTTGGGGATTTAGCCTTCTCTAATCTGCCTTAGATAGATCAAGGGATTGCTGTCCTCGAATCAGTAATTTGCCCAATGCGCCCTAGCGGGTTCACAGCTCAGGTTGACCCCAGAACCCTGGCCCTGAACAGATGTTCTGATGCACTGCCCCCAGCCCTGCTGGCTCCAGGGTGAGGGCTGGGATCCCCGACTATGCATTTCTGCAGTGGGTCCTAGAAGTGGGAAGGACCGGGCTTGGTCCTCCACACTCTCCCCTACCTAACCACCTGTTGGCACCTTGGACTGGGCCCATCACTGGCCGTGGGATAGACTGGTCTCTCTGCAAAGCTGGGGGAAGCCCAACCAACTCAGAGGTTTCTACCTAGTCATTTCGCTCTAACTAGAGACTGTGCCTGTGGCGTCTCTCTCCTTTCTTCTATCCATTTTTTGTATTTGCTTCTACAACAGAGAATTTAAATATTTTCTTTCCTGTAGGACACATTTATACTAAAACCTTATTTTTTTACCTGAAATTCAAATTTAACTGAGTGTTCTATATTTTTATTTGCTAACTCTGGTCATCCTAACTAGATGCTAACCAATAAAGAGTGTCATTGGACTTCCTGAATAACAGAGGAAAGTCATAAATGTGGAAGGTCTAGACTGCTGCTCTTTCTCTTCTCCCTGGTGCTCTTTTCCTTGAGTCCAGCATCACATCCGGCGCATCACCCCTGCTTATATGACCCCAGACTGTGCTAGACCATTCAGTCTTAGTTCAGATGCCACCACTTCATGAGGCTTTCCTCAACACCCAGCCCTGTCTTCCCTACCCTATAATCCTACTTTATGGTTTCCAAGGCCTAACTACAGTTATTTAATTTGTTTGTTTGAGTATGCTCGATCCCAACCCATTAGAAAGCAGGGATCTGGACTGCCTCGGGCATTGGGGCAGCCCCCCATCTAGAACAGTGCACATCGTTGACTTCCAATTAGCAACTGTATGCAGGAATGAGTGAATCCTCCAAAGGGAGCTTGAGTATCCCATCACACAATGAGTCTCTGACACATATTACCTAGTGAGGTGATGGGCCAGTGGCTTTACCAACTTACCCCTTCTAGGTGTGAAATGCCTCAAGCCATGTCAAGAACTCCTGGACAGTATGCTAACGCTGCACATTACTCTTCCGTTCAACTCTGGGGCCAATTTGCACCACTCCTTTGTTGCTACAATTGTATAGTAGTTACTGTCGGCCAGGAATTCCTTGTATATCTATGTTACCTCCCTGGCCAGACTGAGTTCACACAGAGCAGAGACCACTTCCCATTTTCCCTAACCATGCAGAGTGAACATCCAAAAAACTCTAACTCCATAGTGGTGGGATGCATTATACAGGTGCTCAAGCATTTGAATGTTCCCTAAAGTCTTTGTCTGGGCCAGGCTAACTGGAATCAGGCCATGGGGGATTTAGGGTCCTTAGACAGACACTACACAGACGTATGTATAGACATGGCCAATAAGGATGGAGCAAAATACCTCACAAATCTTGGATGTTGTAAGTGACAGAGCAGGAAGCAGAGGCTAGAGGACTAGTTGCCACCCAAGGCAACACAGAAAGTCCCAGAGTTTGATACGGGACATAATAATTAGAGAAAAGCAGTGTGGTTATTGTGTTTACCCGATCTTTCAAAAGTACCTAAAGAGTGCCTACTTTGTGCCAGCTGCTCTACCAGTCACTAAAAACAGAGACGAATAAGATGTGACCTTAGCTGTGGGGTGTCTGTGGTTTTCTCCCTCTCTCCACTCAGTTGTGATCTTCTTGAGGACAAGGACATCTATTTATCACTCTGGATGCCTGGAGCCTAAGAGATAGTTGGCCTTAGTAAGGGACATTCTTCCTGCTTTGTGTTCTTCAAAGAGAATGAACCAGAACAAAAGGGAGAAAGACTCAGAGAAAAGGAATTTGTCACAATAATATAAGCAAGACCCTTTCAATAACTTGAATTCTCCAGAGGTGGAATGGGCTTCCCTTTGAGAGGGTGCATTTCCGTTCTCTGGACATGGTCAGGCATAGATTGGGCTGCCACATAACAAGAAACCTGTGCAGGAAATTCAGGCACGTGTGACATGGCTATCAGCTCTCTTTTGTCCTAGGATTTGTGAAGTTCACTTGATGATGATATTGCTGTGTTCAGAGAGTCTTTTCAGGGATTAGTAAGAAGACACTACATCATTCTCTTAACATTTATCAATTAACTTGCAGAAAGAGGGCAGGAGCGTGGAACCTTGGTCTTTATGGGTGATCAAAGTCTTTATTTATTGACACTACAGCTGTGAAGAAAATATCATCCAGCAATCTTTCCCCTCCACTGACTCAACTTCTCCTCCTTCTCTGATCTTCCTTTGCCAGCTGGCATCCATGGGACTCCATCACCTTACAAACCATTTCCAAGCAATGGAAAACTCCACAGGAGCAGAAGACGAGGCTAGAACTTCTCTCTCTAGGAGAAGGAGGCTCGTCACAGGCCAATCCATGGTCGCATTCCATGCTGGTGACACGCTGATTTGGAAGGACATGTTCTTTTAGGCACAATAAAATTGAATCTCATCTCCACATCTGGAGCTAAGTATAGGAAAATTACCTTAATTAAACACAGCAGAATCCAGATTTATTGCTCACCACGTGGAGTGCCCTTAGTCTCTTAGGACCAAACCTGATATTCCAGAAAAGCCATTTTCCACTGGCACTTGTACACATGTCCACCCTTGGCCTTCAGATGCCTGGAACCAAGGAGAAGAAATATGTTCCTCAATTTTCAATACGGTAAAGAGGTTTATAGTGTAATGAAAAACATAAGGCCAATACAACTAGTTGAAAAGTGAGTACAAAGTCAAATAGCTGTTTAGCCCACATGTCCTTCCAAGCAAGTAGGCGGACTCTTTGTTCCCCCTCCTCCCACTGGAATCTTAGATGATTTTCTTTAACTTGTGCTTTGGTATCCCGTAGGTTGTTTTAGTTCCAGGTAGTAAAAACTATTAGCTGTGGGAAAGAGATTAGAGAAATAAAGTAATAGATCAACAGTACATAAAACTGAAGCCCTGAGAAATGGATTGTTTTCCCTAGCAAATAGGTCTAATCCGGAAAGGAGGAAACACACAGAGTGTCCGGAACAGAGTGAATGGCCCAATTGTACCACAAAGTGATTCAGAAAGGCAGGCAACAAGGCTTGCCCATCTAGCAGCTCTCATGTTGAGCCAGAATTCCCTCTGAGTCATTTGTTTTAAACACTACTAATAATAAAATGCTAGAATTCTCATGCACGTGAAATAAAATGCCCTTTGTAGATAAAGAAATACTTCAAGGATGCAGTAGACCCTTGCTGTACTTGCCTTGACCATGATTTTCCTTGGCTTGCTTGCTTTGTTTCAACCTGAGCAGTCTCATTGACTCCCGTCACCACCAGAACCATCTCTCAGGCAAAGACCCAATTCCTGACTTCTCTTCAAGGCTCCAAAGCCCCATTTCCAGGGCCTAACTGATGCTCCAACGTGTCTACTGAACGTCCCCAATGGAGGGTCCCACAGGCACCTCAAATTCACATGCCCCCAACTCAGCTCAGTATCTTTTCCTCTAAGCATGCTCCTCCTCCTCTCTTCTCCACCCTGGTCAACTCTACTCATGATCCCAGACAGAGAACTCAGCCATCACTGTCATGCTGTGCCCTGAACCACCATGGCACCAGAGCTGCAACTCTCCCTGTCAGCACTGACCACCCTCCCAGCAGTGTTCCTGGCTCCCCCACGTAGTGCTTAATCCCAGCTTCTGCTCTCTTCCAGCATACATCATAATGTGCACAGGTGAGCTCCTTTTGCCAGGATCCTGTCCAGGCTCATCTGGGCTGGAGCCCGTCTTGGCCTGCCATCCTCTCCCAGCTGCAGCCCAGCTTTGAGAAAGGGTTCTGACACGCTTTGCTCTCATGCTGAGACCCCTGACAACTCATGGGATCCCTGCTGTCAGTCAACTTGCTTGAGTAGTGCCAGCCCTGCCAGCACTGTCCTTGCCCCTGACATGCATTCCTATATTTGTCCCAAATAGCTGGTGTCTATCCTCCATGGGACACACCGGCACCTAATACACCTCTCCAATCCTGCTGTTGCCCTCTGGAAAGCTTTACATGATTCCTCATTGCCTATTAAATACAATCCAACTATTTCAGCAAGTAAGGCTCTTAAGTACTTGGATCCACCCACTTGGCTTGCTCAACAGCATCCCCCAAAACCCTCTTATGTTCCAGTCACATGAGACTCTTCTTTCTCCAAATCAGCCCTGCGCTTCCCTGCCTCTGTGCCATCTGTCACGAATTCTGACACCTTCGTGACTTCTCAACTGCAGATTCCCTCTGACATGTTTCCACAGAACTGGAGGTATGACTCTCTCAGCTCCCATTCTCATCTACCTGCTCCACAGCTCCCCTGTAAGCAACTGTCCCCCGCACCACCCCCAACCCCCACTATCCCAGGTTAAACACTGGCCTGGAGGAGACGCCACTGTGAGTCCACAGAACTGACTTGATGCCGAGTGAGAAAAAGAAAGAACTCACTTATAAGTTTATTTGAGTAGGAATCCAGAAAGATCCCAAGAGACAGATGAATTAAAACCCAGCAAACTCTTAAATCTACATTCCTTAAGCCTTACTGATTTTTAAATTCTGGCTGAAGAATCTCTGCCTTAACCCTCCTGTTGTGGCCAGCCAACTGGAAAGAGAAAAGGTGTAAATCAGTGTCTGTTGCTACATTGTCACCCAATAAAGCCTACGTGCAGATATCTGATCCCATTGGCAAAATAAGCCACATATTTATCTCTTCCTTCCCCAGATCCTATTGAAATAACTGAAAAAAAACATGAAAACAAAAGCAAATGTTTGAACGCTTAAAGCAGGAAAGGTCCCCGTCAGAGGACCAGGAACGCCAGGGAATTTCTGATTCTGGGTCAAGGGAGAAAACCATCAGGAAGGGTCCCAGAAGGACACTGGGCCAAACACAGGAGCATGGCAGTACCCTGGGAATGTTCCCATGCCCTCATGGATACAGGACAAAAGAAAAAGAACCGCCTACTTGGGATCCTATGAACATCTCCTAATGCACTCTATTCCAGGTCAACATCTCCACTACTGCCCCAGTGGGAGGGAGTCCTCAGCCCATCTGCCTGCTCCTAGGCATCGCCCAACTGCCAGGGAAGAGCACAGTCTCAGTAGGGGGCAGATGGAGGGCTTGGCCGAGGAAACTGAACTCTGACTTTCACAACCCAGGCACCAACGTACAACCCAGTGTCCAATCTAGAGTGTGAATGCCAAATGGTCACCCCGAATTTGAGGAAAACCAACAGTCTAAAGGAGACCAGAAAGCTGGACCAGTAGAATAATTTGCCCTTGAGGAAACAGAGGTATTGCAGGAAACACAGAATTTAGAAATGTTGGTCAAAGGTGCAAAGTTTCAGTTATGCAGGATGGACGAGTTCCAGGGAGCTGATGTCCAGCGTGGTGGCTATAGTTAGTAACCCTGTATTGAAGACTAGAAATTTGCTGAGAGTAGATCTCAATTGTTCTCATCCAACAAAAAAGGTAACTATTTGAAGTGGTAGGTATGTTAATTAGCTTGATTGTAGTAATCATTTTTCACAGTGTATAAATGTATCAAAACATGTTGTACACCTTAGATATACACAATTTTTATGTGTCAGTTATCTATCAGTAAAGCTGTGAGGGGAATGACTTCATTTAGTATCCTCAGAGAAATTCAAAGGTAATCATGTGGATTAACACAAAAACCATTCTGCTTCCTAACGGAGCCGTCTAAGGCCAAGAAATAAATAATGCCCGATATAAAACTGCAGAATGGCCAAGTGATGCTGAAAACTAGAGGATAAAATTTTAAAACATCTAGAAAAGTGTCAAGAATGAGACCAATCTATCAGAGATTATCACAGGTGGAAGTGGATTAAAGTCCTATACTACAAATCAAAAATATATACATGGCATATGGGGGCAGGGAGGGTGGGAGAACCCAATATTATTTTGCTTATAAAATCAACAAAAATGATACAAAAATGTTGATACCTAATTGCGTGCATTGTATGGCTAAATACATGTATCATGTAAGTGCTAACAAAAAGAAAACTAAAGCATTAATATTGCTAGGGTAGACCTCAAGGTGAAATATGAAATGAGAGAGAAGGAATTTCATATTAAAAGAAGGTACTGTCACTCTGCCTGAAGGACGGTCCCCCCAGCTGTTCATGGGGCTGGCTTCCCTTGTCCTTTGGCCTCCAATTCAACGTCCTCGCCCCAGGGAGGACTTCCTGACCATCCCATCAACAGTCCATCTCTCCGCACTGTCTTTAACAGGTATTCATTTGTTTCCTTTATAGCACAATCAGAATTCTTTTAAATGAATAGTTACCTGATTATTATTTGTTTCCATAACTATAAATGCATGAATCATGGAGTGTAGGAAACTTACGTGTTTTTTAAAAATTTACCATCGTATTTCTAGTGCTTAGCACATTGCCTGGTACCTAATAAGCATTTAATAAGCATTCTTAAAATGAATACCAATATATAACATCACAAATTTTAGATACAAAAAAGCTTTAAGAATACCTTACTAAAATATATTTTAAACAAAGACAAATTTAACAAAATTGCATGATCAAAACAGAAAAGTCTAATGCAACTTTGAAAAATGATGTCTCAGATAGAAATAAAACTAAGGATATAAGAATTTTTTTAATTCATTCAACACATATTTACTTAATCGCTGTAAGAGTCAGGTCCTGTTAGGCACCTGAGGCAGAGGTGAGAATGGAATGACGTCTGCCTCAACGAATTGCACTGAAATGACTCCAGGCCTTGGCGAATAGAGCTAACCAGCAGACTATATACATAAATATATGCACATGACCATGTGTTTATGTCTGTGTTTTACTGTCTCCCAACATATAATATATATTCCATTATATATCTTTGGAACACTGACAAAAATTGATCATGTTCAAGGCCAAAAAGAAAAATCTTAATATATTTTTTAAAATCGAAATCCTTCAGACTACTTTCTCTAACCACAATGTAATAAAACCAGAAATAAATAACAAAAGAAGAGCCAACAACTCTAAGCAACTGGACAGTCAAATAAATCTGGAGCTAAACATGGTAACAAAATTGAAATTGAATTACAATTAGGAGATCCCATACAGAAACCTAAGGCGTTAGACCTAGAGGAAAATTTACAGAACTACTTTTTTAGAAGAAAAAATAATGAAATAAATGAATTAAGCATTTGACAAAAGGATGTAGCAAAATAATCATAAAATAATCCAAAATATATATGAAAAAATGTAAACCCAGAAATTGAAGAAATAAAGGGGCTGATTATTTTTAAAAAATAAAACTAACACAGACCTCTTTAAGTCAACCAAGAAAAAAAGCAAACACAAACAGCATTAGAAATAAGAAGGGTATAAACACAGACACAGTGGAGATGAAGCAATTTTAAGAGAGCACCACATTCAGCTCTACACAATAAATGTGATTAAGAAAGCAAATATCAACAAAATTAAGCCAAAATGAGAGAACTGGAATAGACCACAGGGACATCACAAAGCTCAGACGTGCAGCTTGCACCTCCAGGACCCAGACGCCAGTTACTGGATCCTGCTTGGAACTCCTGTCCCTGCTGCGTCGAGCCACCACATCCAGTCCCACCAAAGACACCTCCAAAATAGATGCTGTGTGGCCCAGCTTCTGTTTCAAAGCTCAGGCAGGTGCGTCTGGTTCTGAGAGTCTGGGTCATGCGGCTACACACTGGCTCAAAGGAGAGGTGGACTCTGCTCCTAAAGGCACAGAAGCTCTTCCTAAACACAGGAGTAGGGCTCAGAGACTCGTTGACCAGGAGGGACACTCAGCGGCCACAATGGTCATAAAAAGTCCTTCTTGGAAAGTAAAGCAGAGTTTAATTAGCATTTCAGCAGCCCCATCTTAGTGCCCACAAAGCTAAAACTAGACATTCAACTACTCTCTCAAATTCAGTACCACCTATGGAGGTACTTCCAAATTTAAACTTCATCCCTATTTCATTCAACACCTATTCACCGAGTGCCTGGTATAAGCAAGGTGTGATTCTGACGCTTTACTCATGTGTCTCCACCTGAATGCCTCCTGTGGGCACCTCAAAGCCAGGCCCCAAACCTGACTGCCGACCTCTGTTTACTCTTCTGTAAAATAAGGATAAGAACACCCACCTAACAAAGAGATTATAAGGGTTGACTGTGATGAGGCATGTAGCACTGTGCCTGGAACACGATTAGGAATAAACGAACGTGAGTAATGTTTATCACTGTCCTTCCTTGCCTCCAACCCGAGCCTCCCATGACCCCTACATCACTATAAACCCACTTGACCCACGTGCACTTTTTATCCCTCAAGACCCAACTCACACACCACCTGCCCTGTGAGGAGCAATGATGCCCCACTAGACCAAGCCGCTTAACCTCTGCACTCCAGCACCGGGGCAGGCCCTTCCTGGCCTCTCCCATCATTCTTCCTACTCCCAGTCACAGAGCTCTACCCTGCCTTTCCTTTGGTTCCTTGAACTCCCAAGACCATTCATGCCTCAGGGCATTTGCTTTTGCAGTCCTCTCTGCCTAGAAGGTTCTGTCCCAGATCTTTACCTGGCTGGACCCTTATCACCCTTCAGGTATCATCACTTACATCTCCTGTCCTCTGAGAGAATTTCCCTGATCACTCTGAAATCACCTCCCTTCCCACCCCACCCCTTATACCTCTCCCCTTTTCCCCATCTCATGCTCTTCATTTCATTGCCTGCAATGATTCTTCTCCGTTAACCTGGATATGCCACATTATAATGTAAGCTCAGTGATCCAAGTGATCTCAACCCAGGACCTCAAAAATTAATACATGGATGGATGGATGGATGGATGGATGGATGAATGCATGGATGGATGGTTGCATAAATAGATGAATGGACAGAGGGATGGATGAGTGGATACATTCATGAATCAATATGCACTTCTGTTGTTCTGTCATAACACTTAAAATTGGAATGACTGTTTGCTTAATGTCTTTGTTCTATTAGAATATGAGTGGTGAAAGCCAGAAACTGGCTCCCTGTATACTTAGTGCCTAAAACTATGACACAAGCCTTCTGCTGACTGAATTTGACTCATTTCTATGTTGTCCTATACTCTCACTGTAGTGATTCTCAAATTCATTTGTTTGTATAATCACTGCTTAGCCCGCTCTCTCCAATTTCCCTGTGGCAGAGTGAAGATGGCCACAATTCCTTTGACCTGCTCCCATTTAGAAGTGGGCTCTGATTACTTTCCCTTTGAATCTGGACTGGTCTTGGCTATTTGCTTGACCAATAGAATGTGGCAGGAGGGAACTACAGGAACTTCTGAGGCTGGGTCATAAAGGGCCTTCTAGCTTCCGTGTAGGTCTCTTGGAACTCTCCTTCTCGGAACCCAGTGGCCATGATATGAGGCACATCAGCCACATGTAGGTCCTGGTGCGTAAGTGCTCCAGCCAACAGTCCCAGTATCGACTTTCAGCCAGGCAAGAGAGCCACCCTGGATGTCCAGCTCAGTTGAGCCTTCAGATGAATACAGCCCCAGCCAACATGTAACTGTAGCCTCCCAGTCAATCACAGAACAACAAGAAATAATCATTTTTTAAAATCACTAA